GAACGACTAGGAAAAAGCCTTGGGGCAGACTGGTTCTCACACAAAACTAAAGGTTACAGATGGGACCAGACTATCCTCTAGAATGCAACAGGTGACTCAAGTTGTGTTGGCACGCAGAAGCAATGCAAGAGGGTTTGCTTTGAAAAATACGTAATATTATGTAAACTGTTATTACTACATCCATAAATGCATCCTAACTTACACAGACGTGTGCTGCCAAGCAGAGATGGAGTTACATGCTGTGTGGCTGAACAGAGAAGACAGAACAGGTGAGTAGGTAAGAATATCAGAGAAAGCAAAGAATGTGGTAACAAAACTATATTAGAGATGCCATATAGGGTGACAGCTAAGTATTCAAGCTCTAAAAACAAAATGCCTATTTTCAAATCTTGGCTCCACCACTTACATTTCAGCATGAACTCAGGCAAGGTAAATAAATAACTTTTATGTGCCTTAGTTTCCTCCTGTGTAAATATGAATAATATTAATAGCTACCTCATAGGGTTGTTATAAGGATTAAAAAGTTAATATATGGGCTTCCCTGGTGGCGCAGTGGTTAAGAATCCACCTGCCAGTGCAGGGGACACGGGTTTGAGCCCTGGTCCGGGAAGATCCCACATGCCGCGGAGCAACTAAGCCCGCGCACCACACCTACTGAGCCTGCACTCTAGAGCCCGAGCCACAACTACTGAGCCCGCATGCCACAACTACTGAAGCCCACGTGCCTAGAGCCTGTGCTCCGCAATGAGAGAAGCCACCACAGTGAGAAGCCCGCACACTGCAATGAAGAAGCAACTAGAGAAGACCTGCGCACAGCACCGAAGACCCAACACAGCCAAAAATAATTAAAAAAAAAAAAGTTGATATACATAAAGCACTTAGAAGATTGCCTGGCACACGGTAAGCATCATTTTCCTAATCTGTAAAATGGGAACAATAAAACTTATTAATTCATAGGTTGTTATAGGAGCTAAATAAATCGTATCTGTAAAATGCTTAGTACATAATAAATCAATATTTGGTATTTTTATTAAAACATGGGTGGGTACCAAAAATAATTTTTAATCCAGAGAAAAATATTTCATAGTGGAAAATAACAGAAAATATCATGAAAAGTGTTATTCCCATTTTGGTGTTGACTTTATTTACTGGGAAACCATGAGTAAATTTGGCATGCTTATCCTCTTTCCACTGTATGAAACACATCTGAATCATTCCATCTCTGAGATCTGTCAAAGGATTTAAGACAGATACAAATTACGGAAGACAAAAAAGAAGAAGGAGAAGGAGAAAAAGAAACCACAAATAAAAGAGCAATTCTAAAATAATATTCCTCTGTGAATTCCTCTATAATTCCTCTGTGAATATTCATTCACTGACAAAAAAGAAAATTTAATAACATAATTACCAAAACACTAGTTACAATTTTACTTACAGAGAAAACGACACTTTTAAAATTTACAAAATGGGCACTCATAAAGAAATTTGTTACGATAAACCTTCTGAAGAACAAAACAAATGTTGGCATTAAATTAAGAATTTAAAAATCAATTAATTGGAACCCAAATAAGCATAACTTCTTATGATGTCCATAATGAAACCAAGAGAGTAAGTAGTCAACAGAACCAAGAAAATTTTGAGGAGGCTGTGGTCAACAGCGGGCCAACAGTGGAGAGGCTACGGCACCTGGGATACCTAGGAAGTGTCCAGTGAGGTTTAGCGGCAAGGTTATAATTGGTGATATTGACAAAATCATTGCATACGGGATTGGGATTGTGGAAAATACCAGATAAATCACAGTACAACCCAGGAAATGATTTTTTTCTTTTCTTTTCTTTTTTAAATCATGAAACAGCTTTATTGAGAGGTAGGCATCATGTAACCTAAGGATTTGTACCTATCTATATATATATTTTTAACATCTTTATTGGAGTATAATTGCTTTTCAATGGTGTTTTAGTTTCTGCTTTGTAACAAAGTGAATCAGCTATACATATACATATATCCCCATATCTCCTCCCTCTTGCGTCTCCCTCCCACTCTCCCTACGCCACCCCTCTAGGTGGTCACAAAGCACCTAGCTGATCTCCCTGTGCTATGCGGCTGCTTCCCACTAGCTAGCTATTTTACATTTGGTAGTTTATATATGTCCATGCCACTCTCTCACTTCATCCCAACTTACCTTTCCCCCTCCCCCTGTCCTCAAGTCCATACTCTATGTCTGTGTCTTTATTCCTGTCCTGCCACTAGGTTCATCAGAACCTTTCTTTTTTTTTTAGATTCCATATATATGTGCCAGCATATGGTATTTGTTTTTCTCTTTCTGACTTACTTCACTCTGTATGACAGTCTCTAGGTCCATCCACCTCACTACAAATAAGTCAATTTCGTTTCTCTTTACGGCTGAGTAATATTCCATTGTATATATGTGCCACATCTTTTTTATCCATTCGTCTGTTGACGGACACTTAAGTTGCTTCCATGTCCTGGCTATTGTAAATAGTGCTGCAATGAACATTGTGGTACATGACTGTGTTTGAATTATGGTTTTCTCAGGGTATATGCCCAGTAGTGGGATTGCTCGGTCATATGGTAGTTCTATTTTTCATTTTTTAAGGAACCTCCATACTGTTCTCCATAGTGGCTGTATCAATTTACATTCCCACCAACAGTGCAAGAGGGTTCCCTTTTCTCCACACCCTCTCCAGCATTTATTGTTTGTAGATTTGTTGATGATGGCCATTCCCACTGGTGTGAGGTGATACCTCATTGTAGTTTTGATTTGGGAAATGATTTTCATAGAGAGAGGAGCAAAAGACAAAGCATGAGTCACTAACTTTGAGTTAGGATAAGCTTCTCCAATTTGGAGATATTCAAACTGGGATTTTTTTTCAAGTTATAATTTTTATTCTAATAGTGATAAATAAAGAAAATTGATATTGGGGATTCATTCCACAAAGCCTATTACTGGGTCACCCTATGGCCCAAAGTGAGTAGGATAACTTTAATCTTTCCATCTAACAGCTGTTAATACACAAAAATTTAAGATGATACATATGAAAGGTTAAACTGAACAATGTTTTACTGGATTTTATTACAATTCTTTTGTGCTAAGAGACTCTTGGCTAGCAATGAAAGTAAGATTTAACACAATTTTTGGAGATGTTAAAAATCTCCAAAAGGGTTTTTCTCCACCCTAAAAGGATTATGCAGACTAGAGTTTAAGAAACTACCTATAAATTCTTCTGATCAGTTCTGAATGACCATTAATACCATTTATCCATCCATCCAGACAGCACTGTCCAACAGAAATATAATGTGAGTTAATTATATATGCATATAATTTAAAATTTAAAATTTTCTAGTACCCATATTTAAAAAGTTTAAAAAAGGTAAAATTAATTTTACTATTTTCCATTTAATCTAATATCCAAAATGTTATCATTTCCACATGTAATCAATATACAATTATTGCTTCGGTATTTCACATTCTTTTTTTCATACTAAATCTTTGAAATCCGGTGTGTATTTTACATTTCCAACACATCTCAATTTGAACTAGCCTAATTTCCAGTGTTCACCAGTCACTTGAGGCTAGTGCCTGCCACATTGGACAGTGCAGGTCTAGAATCCAAGTTCTCTGGAAATAGGAACATGCACGGTCTCATTCACAGATGTAACTGTAGCATTAAGAACAGTGTCTGGCACAAAATCAGCCCTCAATGAATATTTGTTGAATGAATAAACAAACGAATTAATCTATCAGTTTTATACACATATATTTTTAAAAAATCCTATGACATAAATGAAATTTTAATTACATGATTGGAACTACTAAGAGAAGCATAGAATTATATTAATTCAATTCTATAGTTTAATGATACATAGTCAACACAAATTCCTAAATAGGTGTATACTTCCAAATACAGTATAAACACATTTTACTATCAACAGGGGACAAACAATAATCACTTTAAAGATGATTTTCCTAAACATTTAGTAGATCAAAATGTTGTCACACTACTCTAGTAAAATCAAGTAAATTATAGCTGTTCTCTCTGGAATGAATGAACTCCACATTGATCAAATACACACAATTCTTACATAGCCCACTACTATTTGCAAAGAAGTGTTTTTTGTCTTAATGTCCAATCCATTCTAAAACTGGTAAAATACCCTGAGAAAAGCATAATTCAAAAAGAGACGTGTACCACAATGTTCATTGCAGCACTATTTACAATAGCCAGGACATGGAACCAACCTAAATGTCCATCAATAGATGAATGGATAAAGAAGATGTGGCACATATATACAATGGAATATTACTCAGCCATAAAAAGAAATGAAATTGAGTTATTTGTAGTGAGGTGGATGAACCTAGAGTCTGTCATACAGAGTGAAGTAAGTCAGAAAGAGAAAAACAAATACCATATGCTAACATATATATATGGAATCCTAAAAAAAAAAAAAATGGTACTGATGAACCTAGTTGCAGGGCAGGAATAAAGATGCAGACATAGAGAATGTGCTTGAGGACACGGGGTGGGAGGCGGAAGCTGGGGCCAAGTGAGAGTAGCATCGACATATATACACTACCAAATGTAAAATAGATAGTTAGTGGGAAGCAGCAGCATAGCACAGGGAGATCAGCTCGGTGCTCTGTGATGACCTAGAGGGGTGGCATAGGGAGGATGGGAGGGAGGCTCAAGAGGGAGGGGATATGGGTCATATGTATGCACATGGCTGATTCACTTTGGTGTACAACAGAAACTAACAGTATTGTGAAGCAATTATACTTCAATAAAGATCTAAAAAAAAATGAAATAAAACTGGCAAAAGAATATGCCAAATATAGCTTCAGATCCCTGACAAAACGTTAAATTATATTCATTATTTTTAAAATGCTTACCCTAGCCTAAAGTACTGAGATTATTTAATATAAATGAAATGGGCCCCAAATAGCTGATGTTTATTAACAAAGGTGAGGGAGAAAAGCTTACCTTCTCTGCTAAGAGCTCTCGTATCTTGCTCGCTTGAACTCTAAATTTCATGAGCTGGGACTCCAGGGCTACACATCGTTCTTTCCAATCTACTGGTCCTTCTGTCTCAGAAAGCTCTGCCATATTTATTCTAGGAAAGAAAGCATTCAAATGGCATAATATCAGTAAGCATTCAGAATAATTCATTAAATCATTGAACACACATATTCTAGTCACCATATAATGATATCTAGACGTTTTGAATTCTAAGATAAATTCCAGAACTGGAATGGCTCATGGAAAGAACTTAGGGGAGACAAGAGGCCAGGGTTGGAGGCCCAACTGGGTTACATAAACTTTCTTTTTAACTTAACCTTTCCATGTCTCAGCTTATCCAATCTAGAAAAAAGGGGAATGTGGCAATAACAAACCATTCATCTCATGAGTAGGTTGTAAGGAACAAATTAAATACTGCTGTTCTTAACAACACTTTGGACAATATAACAGCACCACACAGAGTACTGTCATTATTTTAGCTCTGCCCAACAACTGAGGTAAGATTTTTAAAATCTGTCAGTTCATAATTTTACCATGTTCTTAAACTTACAGAATTATTAGTTTTGATTCAATTGGTAGCATCATAGAATAACCTAAAGAAACTTCATATCAGTGCTACAATTATGGCTTAGACTTATAATTATTACTTACCACCACCCTATATTTGTCCAGGTCCAGGCTGTCTTTCTTTTTTTTTTTTTTTTTTCATCTTTATCATAGTACAATTGCTTTACAATGGTGTGTTAGTTTCTGCTTTATAACAAAGTGAATCAGTTATACATATACATATATTCCCATATCTCTTCCCTAAGGCTGTCTTTCAAAGCAAAAATCCTTTGGCATATTTAACTGGGCAAAGTATTACGACCCTGGAGAAGTTTAGATAATTTTTATTTGGTGTAAGAAGAGAAAACATATAAACATGAAATTTAGAATCACCTACATTAAGTAAATCTGGATCAGTGTTTTCCATGATGCTAACCTTCCTTTTGGAGATTAATCCTAGGGAGAAGCACGGTAAAGGGGAAGCCAAGAGGCAGGGGAACTGGTTTTTTTTTTTTTTGGGGGGGGGGATAGGAGTTTATTAATTAATTTATTTATTTTTGCTGCTTTGGGTCTTCATTTCTGAGCAAGGGCCATCTCTAGTTGTGGCAAGTGGGGGCCACTCTTCATCACGGTGCGCCGGCCTCTCACTAGGGAACTGGTTTTGAAATTCTAAAGTGCAAAAAACTATTGCTTGACTTTGGAAGCACAATTATTTCTAGCTCTGGGATTCATAAAAGTAGTTTTAAATGTCTGTTAATGTTTCATCAGACCATTTTCATAAATGGCTTGATAATGTATTTCTGAATTGCCCTTACTATGAACTGACAAAATCTGCATTAGGAATGGCTCTTCAGGAGAAGCCAAGTCCTAATCATAGAATATATGTGACAGCAAACTCTCAGAACCCCAGGATAGAACTGCAGTTGAAGCGTATTATTCTGTTCTTCTGTTTTACAAAAACATGTCTCCCTCACAAATTAACCAAGTTTATTTTCCCAATATTTAGTGTAATATAACCCCTTCTTAAATCTGTACCAGTTTTTTAAATCTGCAAAAGATTATTTTCCTAGCATAAATATTGATTTATGCTTAGATCAGCTTTCACATTAATACTTACATTATCACTCAATAATTTAGAAATAAATATAAGCAAACTTATTCTACAAAGGCTACAACTTTATTAGGAGCTCCCCAACCATCTCAAAGCCTCCAGATGCTCCTAAATTCTAGCCATAATTTAAGGGAAACTTATTGTAGAGCTAGAAATTGTTCTCTTCATTTCTTCGTTTTCACAGAAGCCCCACCCCACTGTTTTATGAGTTTTTCCTAAGGATATTAGCCTTGTTAATGACCTTTTTTTCATTACTCACATCAGCATGTTCTATTAATGATTTAGAAGTAAATAAGGTAGTTTGTCAGTCACAAACTTCTTCTCAGTTCTACTGCTATTTCATTTCTCTCCTCATTAGCTTTATAGTGGAAAAGGAAGAAAATACAGATGAAATATTAAAAATAAAAAGCAGTCCTGAAATGGACATCCTTAAGTCTTGAACCATTCATATCACTGCAATATAGGGACACTCCTCTATCTTAAGCAACAAGAATAGTCTATTTCATGTTGGTTAATTTTTGCACTACATTTAAAATAACCTGTTTATGTTCTACTGTAAAATTTCTACAGTTTTTAAAATAACAAACATATTTTTCAACAAATGAAAGTCAATGTGATGAACCATATGAACAGAATAAAAAACAAAAACCATATGATCATTTCAACAGATGCAGAAAAAAACATTCAACAAAATCTAACACCCTTTTATGATAAAAACATTCAACAAACTAGCAATAGGAGTGAACTTCCTCAACCTGATAAAGAGCATCCATGAAAGCCCACAGTTTATATCACACTTAATGGTAAATGACTGATCCGCCTAAGATCATAGACAACATAAGGATGTCTGCTCTCGCCACTTCTATTCAACATCATACTAGAGGGTCTGGCCAGTGCCAGAAAATAAAATAGAAAGCGCACAGATTGGAAAGGAAAAACTAAAACTATTTCTATTTTAAGATGTTATGGTCTTATTCATAGGAAATTCTAAGGAATCCATTAAAAAAAAACTATTAGAACTATTTGAGTTCAGCAAAGTTTCAGGAAACCAGATCAATATACAAAAATCAATTGTTTTTCTTTATACTTGCAAGGAAACTCCAGAAATGAAATCAAGAATATATTCCATTTACAATAGCATCAAAAAGAATTAAATACTTAGGAGTAAATTTAACAAAAGAAGTATAAGATTTGTACTCTGAAAACTACAAAACATCATTGATCAAGATGAAAAAAATTTAATTACAAAACATCACTGAAAGAAATTAAAGAAGACCTAAATAAATGGAAGACATCACACATTCATGGATTAAAAGACTTAATACTGTGAGGATGGCAACACTTGCAAATGGATATACACATTCAATACAATCCCTATCAAAATTCCAACGGCATTTTTTTTGCAGAAACTGACAAGCTGATCCTATAATTCATATGGAAATTCAGGGAACCCAGAATAGCCAAAACAATCTTAAAAAGTTTTACGACTCACACACTCAATTTCAAAAATTACTACGAAGCTACAGTAATCAAGACTGTGTGGTACTGGCATAAAGACAGACGTATATATAGATCAGTGGAATAAAATTACGAGTACAGAAATAAGGAAATAAAGATGGGGGGCAAAATAGGTGAAGGCGATCCAGTGGTACAAACCTCTTATATTAATTATATAATAAATAAGTCACAGGGATGTAATATACAGCATAAGGAATATGGTCAATGTACTAATTTTGTACGGGGACAGATGGTCACTAGACTTATCGTGGTGATCATTTCATAATGTATGCAAACATTAAATCATTATGTAGTATATGTGAAATTAACATAACATTGTACATCAACTATATTTCAATTAAAAGTATCTGTAACAACCCTACTTCCAAATAAGATCACATTTTGAGATACTAGGGGTTAGGACTGCAATACATCCTTTTTGGTGGCGGGGTGGGGGGAGCTATTCAATCTATTTAAAAAAGTACAGAAATAAAACCTCACATTTAGAGCGAACTGATTTTTGACAAGGTGAGATGAATAGTTTTTTTTAAATAAATGGTGCTAGACAACTAGATATCCACACGCAAAAGAATGAATTTGGACCCCGGCTGCATACCATATACAAAAATTAACCCCAAATGGATCAAAGACCTAGACGTAAGAGCCTAAGCTCTAAACTCATAGTAGATTAAATAGGCATAAGTCTTTGTGACCTTGAATAGACAATAGTTTCTTAGATATGACATCTAAAGCATAAGTAATCAAAGAAAAAATAGGTAAATTTAACCTAAAAAGAAAAACTTTTGTGCTTCAAAGGACACAATCAAGAAAGTGAAAAGATAACCCACAGAATGGGAAGAAATATTAACCAATCACATTATCTGATAAGGGACTTGTATCCAGATTATATAAAGGACTCTTACAACTCATCAATAAAAAATCCAGTTAAAAAGTAGGCAAAGGAGGGCTTCCCTGGTGGTGCAGTGGTTGAGAGTCCGCCTGCCGATGCAGGGGACACGGGTTCGTGCCCCGGTCCAGGAAGATCCCACATGCCGCGGAACGGCTGGGCCCGTGAGCCATGGCCGCTGGGCCTGCGCATCCAGAGCCTGTGGTCCGCAACGGGAGAGGCCACAACAGTGAGAGGCCCGCGTCCCGCAAAAAAAAAAAAAGTAGGCAAAGGATCTAAAGAGATATTTCTTTAAAGAAGATATACAAATGGACAATAAACACAAGAAAAAATGCTCAACATCATTAGCTATAAGGGAAAATGCAAATCAAAACCACAATGACTTCCCACTGCATACTAAATAGGATGGTTATAATAAAAAAGACATGTAATAACAAGTGTCGGTGAGGATGTAGAGAAATCTGAACTCTTATACACTGCTGTTGAGAATGTAAAAATAGTACAGCTGCTCTGGAAAGTAGCTTAACAGCTCCTCAAAAGTTTTAACATAAAGTTACCATATGACCCAGCAACTCCAATGTTAAGTATATACTCCCCAAGAGAACTTCATACCTAAGTCCACACCAAAACTTGTACACAAATGTTAACAGCATTATTATTCAAACAGCCAAAAAGTGGAAACAAACCAAGTGTCCATCATCAGATGAATGGATAAACAAAATGTGGTATATCCACACAATGGAATCTTATTCAGCCACCAAAAAAGGAATAAAGCACCAATACATGCTACAACAATGGATGAACCTTGAAAACATTACCCTAAGTGCCTAGTGAAAGAAGCCAGACACAAAAGGCAACATACTGCACGATTCCATTTATATAAAACAGGCAAATCCCAAGATACAGAAAGTAACTTAGTGGTTGCCAACAACTGTGAAGAGAGGGCAATGGTGATCAACTACTAATGGGCTTGGGGTTTCTTTCTTAAGTGATGAAAATATTCTAGAATTAGTGCTGTTGGTTGCA